GTTTTTTTTTGTTTCGGTTTTTTTCGGTTTAGGTTAATTAGCGGATGATCGTCCGTTAGTTCGTTTTAACGTACGCCTTCGTCAGATTCGTTAAATTAACGAACGTTCGTTTGTTAATCCGTTCGTCGTTTTTTCTTTTTCTCGGATTTAATCCGCGAATTTTCTGATCGCGATTCCAGATCTGATTTTCGTTCTAGTATAACTTTTCGCTCGTTTATCAGAATCAGGCGATTCAAGCGCCTGGAGTTTCGTCTCGAAACCCTCTTTCTGAATAATCTACTTAAACAAGTTTTTGCCTCTGTAAAATTTGACTTAGATCCAGATTAGTAAAACGAAGCTGTTTTCTTTCGCCGTTTGACTTTCGTTGCTTTGTTTGATTTGGTTCTTTTTGCAAACCGGAGTTCTTAAGTTGAACATTCTGGTCGGATCTTTTATTCGAGTTTTACCTATGCATTAGATGAGTACTTATTGTATGCTTGTTGGTTTGTCTGCGATAGAATACCCGGAGTGCGCCGCCTGTTACTTCGAGTCTCTAGGTTTTGCGGATCATCAGCAAGGCAAGTAACACTTTGATCATACCTTTTTCTCATACCCGGTTTTTATGCATTAGACCAATCCTCAAACAATTGCATGATTAGGATCTAATTAAATTGTGGGATGGGAAGTAGATGAGGTAGTACCTATTACCCGTTTTATTATCAAACCTTTGGGAGTTACTTCTGCGTTTGCTTATTATGCCATGCTATGCTAGTAGACGTGGATTGGGTGAGTGTATCCATGACAGATGTGAGATTGTTAATCAATGGTTTATTTAAGGTGGCAACTTAAACACACATCTGGGTGGATTGAGGCACCTGGTTTCTATCAGGACTTGCCTGTATTTCTTCGGACCGCCACCCAGGCTCAAAGGGATCATGAGATTATTCAATCTAGAAACTTACGTGTGCAGCCACAAGCCATTATGGGCTCTGGCATAGTTGACTAAGTTGTGCGAACTCTTACGGGTAGACTAGCAGATGTAGGGGAAAGTAGGTGTACCGGTCTACCCACATGTAAGGTGCTAGTGCTTCCGAAAGACTATGTCTCGGTCATCCGTTTCTCAAACACCATGTAGTGCGAGGAATCAAACGGAGGCAATCGAGTCTTGTGGGGAAAAGTGCGCAAACCTCTGCAGAGTGTACAAACTAATCATGATTAGCCGTGTCCCCGGTTATGGACGTTTTGAGTATCTAGTACCTGGATATCATGTGAATCTCATCATGTTACTTTAATCTAATATTGTTGGGTTTGATGAGTACTTTTAATTGGGATTGAGAATGCTGTCAACCATTCTCAATGTTTAACAACCACCATGATAGTTAATTAAATTTATTCCTTTGCAATAGGGAAAAATTGGCTTTATGCAAAACTGTAACCATAGAGCTTTTACACCAGCCAAATTGCATGTAGTGTAGCTTATTCCAATGTTATTCTCTATGTGTTACATTGCCAGCATATTCCATGTGCTGACCCGTTTTCGGGCTGCAACGTTTCATGTTGCAGACTTTTCAGACGATGAGTAAGGTGCTTTTAGGTCATGGTTCTATACTTAGTGATGCCGTTGGAGTTGATGGACTCGCTTATCTTCCAAGCCTTCCGTTGTTATCGTTTTTAGATGGCCTTAAGTCATATTTATTTCAATAAGTTCTCTTTTGAGACATTCGATGTAATAAGTGTGTGATTGCTACTCTGTTATAAATCCTCCAAGTACTGTGTGGTGTCAGCATTACTGATCCAGGGATGACACTGAGCACAGAGACTTGACCGTTTGAGGTCGGGTCGCTACAGAGCAGGGCGGCGGGGCGTCGTCGTCGTCCTCGGCGGAGTCGAGGTCGATCTACCAGGTACGACGGCCTGGCTCCGGCTCCCTCGCTGGTATCTGCACCGATTCTTCCTCCTCCTTAGACTCCCCACCGATGACCGCTAGTGGCACGATTGCCCTCTCCCAGTACACTGCGGCACGACGGTCATTAGGATCCTAGTAGCTCTTGTACCTGGCCCACTTCTTCCTCTGTTTAGCATTGTCGGAGACGGCCTGATAGCGAATGATGTCGACTGCCATCGCGCCCTTCGCTGGGTCAGGAATCACCGCCTTCAGCTTTTGTGCAATGGCTCTCATGAGCACCGCATCAGATTCTTTCTGCATCTCAGCCATCTAGCCGAAGTTCGAGCACACCTCCATGGTGTTCTCGAACTTGGTGCGGTCACCAGCCGACAACCCACGGAAGAAGGCCCTCCAGCCAATACCCCACGAGAAGGGGTTGGCGTTGGAGCTGGAGCTGGAGCTCATGGCGATGGAGAGGAGGAAGATTGATAGTGAGAGAAGAGAGGGGGTGGGTAAATAGTGGTGGGCAGGGTGAGTAAATATAGGCGCGATGGAGAGGAGGAAGAGTGACAGTCATGCCGTTTTAAAGACATGCTCCTAATAAGCCATGAACTCTGTGCTATTCGTGACTCCATGAATTGTGTGCAGATCGAGGAGAGCAATGAGATGGGCACCGAGGTGCTCCCGGCCGTTGACAACAAGGGCAAGCAGCCCCTTCATCCAATGCCCGAGGAGGTTGTGCTGCCGCCCACCGCCGACGAAGACCCGAAGACGCCTGAGGTTGCCGACGACAAGCGCATGGAGGAGCTCCCCAGCAACAAGCTCCGCAACTACGGCCACTACCATGAGGAGGATGGCCCAACTCACTTCTGCAAGGTCATCCTTGCACTGAAGCTTGAGTGCATCCCCATGCCCCTCGACTTCACGAAGCACTTCGTCGCGGTGCCGACGGAGTTCAAGCTCAGGAACTACACCGGCTGCTCCTGGAAAGGTGATGGTGAAGCTGACGAACGGCAAGGTGACCCTGGATCAGGGTTGGGGAACCGACGCAGCCATTCATCTGATCAAGATCGGCTACATGGTGACGTTCAAGCTCCTCACTCCCGACACCCTCAAGGTCATCATCTTCGACGAGGATGGCATTGAGGTTGTCAACAAGTGCGGGAAGCACGACGAAGCCTTCGCCGCCAAGGAGTAGGGCCGGGGCACCTCCTTTCTAATTACTATCGAGTCTACTTTGAACTGTTTATGGTTTATGTTTTGAACTGTTATGAAGTGTGGTACTGCCTATCTGAAATATGCTCTTAAGTAGATGATCCCCTGTTTATACTCTGCTCTGCTTATGATGTGTGCTACATGGTTGTGCGGAAGTGTGCTGGTAACCTCACCAATTAGCCAAAGAGGTTACCACACATCAGACGTTGCATACAACCAAACACCATGCTTTGGGTTTGTCCACTAACATGCAGTCAACCAAACACCAGGCAGTGTGGTTCAGCCCATGCAGGTAAGAGAGCATGCAAGCAACCAAACAACTTGCAGATGGTGCATTTGAGGCTGCATTTGCATGAAAAGGCTATGCAATGCAGCTACTGTAGGGTACGGCAACCAAACACGCCCATAGACTTTAGAATTCAGCCGGTACAGTACAGGCCAAGTGAACCAGATCCACGACTGACAGAATAATAATTTCTTGTGCTGTAGCCTGTACGTAGACCCAGTGATAATATTTTCTGATTAACCTGTCCGTGACAGTGGTCCGGGCAATGATAGTACCCCTTTCCCTTTCTCCGGCCAAATCCACGCCCAGATCTCCACTCACAACCTGTCACCCAGCCAGCCAGCCTTGAGATCCAGAAGAGGAGAGGAGAGGATCGGTTGAAAACAAGAGAAAGAAATGACTCGAGGGGTCAGCTGCCAGATCAATGAATGATTATAAAGGTACTAGAAGACGAAGAGGCAGGTGAAAAGGGCGAGGCTAATGCAGGTACAGGGTAAATTTCCAAGGGAGCAGGCATAGCAGCAGCAGCATCTTTGCATGCCCCATATCTTCATTCTTCCACATGCAGAAGCAGAAAGCAGTGAAGAATCTCGTGGTAGAATCCGGACAAGTTGTCGTCATTTTACACTACAATCACGGAGCCTGGACGAAAGATATGCCGATCCAGGGATAAACTACGCTGAATAGTCCTGCCCGGTGAAAAGTGGAAACACACCCTGCCGACAGTTTTGCCATCTTGGGTGACTCAGGACAGGAATGGCCAAATGGAGGAATTCGAGTCCATCATAGACAGAGCCCAGAAGGAAAACCTCATAAGAATTTCTTATATGCTGTTGATTTGCAGCAGAAGGGAAAGAACACAGGGCAAAACACCTTGAACGCGAGCCGTCATACTAATAGACCGGGCAGTAAGAAAAAAGGAGCTAAGATTACTGAACAAACTAGTATTGAATTTGATTCACAGAACCAGTTCGGAGAATTCTTCAGTTCATCATGCGAAGTGCGCACTCAACCAAATGAGAGCAAGTTCCATAGTTACATTATTATCTATATATATCGACCTTAATATACTGAAGCATAGATTCGATATTATCCACAGTTCCGCACCAACTACATACGACGAAGCGCAGAGAAGCTTATACTCCCCCAAATTGCATCGCCGAGCTCACCTCTCGCGCTTTCTCTTCAACGGGAGCAGCTTCTTCACTTTGTCTGAGCTTCTGTTCACCGATTCTGCATCTTCTACGCGGCGGAAGCCAAGGTGCGACGACAAGTTCTCCACTTCGACTTTCGCGACATCCTTTCTTACTCCTATGTCAGTGATGTATCTACCGGCACAGTACATCCCGGCTGTGACGGTGGCCATTCCAAGTGGACCGGCAGCGAAAATCTTGAACGGGGTGGACAGAAGAGCTGCCAGTGGCACGCCAATGGCGGAAGATGCTTGCCCGCTCACCCCAATGCCAGCCTCATCCACGGGTACAAGTCCAGTCTTGCAGTAGAGCGCAAAGTCCTCGCAATTCTTCTCGAATATGTCGTAATTGCCAAACCCATTCTGAAGCAAGTGCATAGCTCTCCGGACCACAACCTCCGATGGGTCTGATTGGGCAATGGTGCAGGTTCCCCCACGAAATTTTGCAAGGAAAATTGCAGGTGGCACTCCGTACTCGAAGCAGTAGAGGGAGCCATTCCCAAGAAAGCAATCCAAGCAGGTGAGCACGACGCCACTATCGGCCAGCTGAAAACCACAGTCTGGGAATGTTGGGCACTCTGATGAAGCCCGTGAGATCAGGCCAGAGATGGAGTTGGATGAATTGGAAGTTTCAACTTCCTTCTTTCGTGTAAAATGAACCACTTTGCTCCCTCCAACATAAATACCTGAATATGCAATTTGTGGCAACTGAATAAGAAAGTGGCTAACACTAGAACAATTACTCCATGAGCAATATCAAAGAAAAGACACAGATGCAGGGAAAATAGACAGATTGGTGTGAGTGGGTGAGTGTGGGGCAGGGATAAGACAGTTTGTCCGAAAAATACTGACAACGGGCACTTTATTAAAGCATCAAGATTCTACAGTTTTGACAAATAATGCAGCTTTTCCAATTTCCATGCAGGTACCCATGGCATCATGCGCAAAACCTACAGCATGTCCTCCCTGCATATGGGCTATGGCCCTCACTGAATGCACAAAAAGGAGCACCTCAATAGATAGAACACTGCATCGGCGAATAAAAAGCACAGATCATTTTGGCTCCCTTCGATGTAGCCTCACAGTGAGACGATGTGGAAGCACCATATACGCTTTGCTAAATGCATTGCAAAGATCTGTAGCTCATTAAAGTACATAGAAACAAAGTAAAAATAATTGCAGTAACTAGTGAGGATCAAAGATAAAAGGGGCAACTCTTCTGAAGTTGGAATAAAAAAAATTAAAATTGGATACTAGTATACAGTTACTCCAAACGAATTAATAATAAGAAGACTTGAAGTGCTTATCTCTTAGAGTTAGAGCAATCTGGAATTAATAATAAGAAGGCTACTCCAGGAAGACAGCAAAGAGCAGATACGGACAGACAAGTAGGTCAGCAGTAGGTGAGCAGCAACAAGTGTCGTTTGTTCTACATGTAAAGCAAGGAACATGGCATGTGGCATCACAGCCATCTGGAAGGATTTGGGGATGGCCTTGGTGAGCTTCAGTTGAGCTTGAAACCTCCCAATTGAAACCCCTCAGTTGGAGCCTAACCATCTGGAAGGAGTTTTGTACTACTGTTTTTGCGGTTACAATGATTTTTCCACCAAAATTAATGCTGTGGCAATTTTTACATAGTATAATACTGAACACCGGATGAAAGAGAGTACGATTGTACAATAATTGGGGGATGTGATGCAGCTGACAAGTTGTCAATTTCTCATCAGGTAACTTGGCATTGCAAACTGGACAACCGGGGAAGGGAGACTTGATGGTTGACGCGCATCTCCTACCAATCAAGGAATCGTTGCTTGAAGCAGGGGACTTGGCTGTACAGATAAACCCCAGAGTGCCACAGTTGCGAGATGAAACATGCAGACGCACGCTAATTGCGAACAAAGGACATGAAAACACTAGCGTGACTGAAATCCCGCGGCGAAAATGCCCCCGCATTAAAGCACAATTCGCAGCGCCGCCGGCCGGCGGAGCAATTGGGTATCGAGAATTCAGGGCTGAGACCCCCGAGGAACGGCGGAACCGCGGAGAGTGGAGGGGAGGGGGGCCGTTGCAGCGTACCGTGGTGGGAGTAGGCGTAGACGGCCCTCCAGGTGTAGATGTGGTCGCCGGGCCTGACCTCCGACCGCTCCACCCGGTTCGACAGCAGCCCCATCGCCGCCGCCGCCGCCGCCCCCAACGCTCTCCTCCGCGCTGTCGGTGCGTCGCCGTGGCTTCTCCTCGCGTCCGTGCGAATGGAGTGAGCTCCAGTCAGTGTATATAAAAGGGGAGGGGGCGGGGCGGAGGCCGAGGCGAGGTAATAATAATGCGGGGGAGGGCGGAGGCGAGGTATATTCGCGGCGGCGAGGGCCGGGGGAGGGGGGAGTGGCGAGGTAAAGAATGTCGCTGTCACACGGCGTCGCGTCACCCACCACCGGTTCGGTTGGCTCGAGTCGTGGGCTCGGTCGCTGGCTGGGCTCCCATTTCCCGGCTCGGGGAAACCACAAATGATGGAGACCGAAGGAGAAGAATGATCACGTCGGTCGCGCTCGCATCACATGCCGCCGGCGTCACGTGACGAGGCGGGTCGGCACGTTGCTCTGCATGGCTCGCGGTCCGTGTTACCTGAAATGAAATTTGTAGCGAACGTGGCGAGGCCGTTGGGACGGGTCGTGGGGCATCGGGCACCAACGAGGGGTGCCAACCCACACACCAACTCCGGCTGTGCACCTACCTAACCCTCTGCCAGGTGCCACGGTGAGAGACGAGCCCACGCCGTGGCAGGTCCCTCGGTCCGATCTTCTTTTTTTTTAGGGGAGGGGAGGTGGGTAGGGATGTGCCTACATTTTTTTTAATATAATAATGGTATAAAGGGTGAACACAATGATGATTTTGATTTTTAAGAGACAAGAGGGATTGGCAATGGCATCACAGCTGACCGAACCGGATAACGATGGTGCCTGTGGGAGTATAATGTTTTTTCCCCTCAATTACATGGATATTTAGGAGAGAAAAACTGAGCCAAAACCTAGCCCTCTCACGACCTGACAATTTCTGGCCGTCCATTCCCGTCATCAAGCTTATCTGGGTTGTTAGTTGTGCTTAGTTTTTCTCCTAGACCAACTGTCCTAAAGGGCATCTACTCTTGAAGAAAAAACAGAGGCATGTGGTTCTCTGGGCCTTATCTGCCGGCCCATTTGACAAATCCCGCACAGAGACACGCAGATCAAGCTCCCATCGATTCTAAAAAAACTGAGCGCCTATCGCTAACCTCCCGGAAAAAAAGCGCCCGTCTCTGCCAGAGGGCAGGTCAACGGGACAGAGGGGCGATGTGGGTGAGGCGGGCGATCGATTTTCGAGGGGATTCATCCCTTGCGCACGATGCGGTGCGGCTGACATGGGGGCGGCTCGATCCAGCCAACAGGCTGACGCTTCGAAACTGCTCCGCTGAAACTTGAAAGAGGTAACCATAATAAGTGTGTTTAGGACTCATATAGATTTGACATAATTATGTCACATCTAAGTCGGTGTAATTATTATTTTTCTTTGTTTCATTTTGTTTTTATTTTATTTCCTTTTTACGTGTGTCCAGGGGCTAACAGCGAACGTGCTAGGTTACATACGCTAGCTTCCTTCACTTTAGGTACGCTAGCTTGAGGCGGAGGCGATCTTCGAGGGGCTGGCGGCAGCGGAGGAGGAGTCCCTCTTCACGCGTGGAGGGCGCAAGCATCCGCTCCAGGTGCTGCTATGGGCGATGGATCAGGCGGATTCGCCGGTGAGGGCGGTGGCGCGAAAGTGGGTGGCCTTCACCTCCTTCGAGACGGCGCGCCTCGCTCCGGCCATGAGGGCAACGGCGCTCAGATCTCGCGAGGGGGTGCTAGCGCTCCCTGCTCCAGGCTCGGCCATGGCGCCGATTGTGATTCAGGAAGACCCGATGGAGCAGCCGCCACGGGAGGTGGTGCAGGTGCCGCGTCGCTCCGCTCGTCTGGCTCCAGCTCCATCAACTCCGACTCCACGCCGCTCGGCATGCCTTGCCGGAAACGAAGCCTGATGCCTTCACTAGCCAGCAACCGCTTCTAGAGGCTGGCTAGTGAAGATTCAGGTAGCGATGCTCACGAGGTTGGTGTTGATTCAGGTATAGATTGCAATTACATTTTTCCATATGCATCTCCTGGTGATAATACAAAAGGGGAATCACGTGTCGTTGATACTCACAGCCGTATTAGGCGAGTAAATCGTAGAATTAAGAAAAAAAATGAATCAATATGTTCAGAGTATGCTCCTGAAGCATGTAGAGGGTGTGGTTAGAAGAGATGAAATTGATAAACTGACGGAATGTGAGGAAGGGTTTACTTATGCTGACTCACCTAGTTGGGGAGATTACCACAAAAATGGTGTAGATCTAGCATTGATAAAAATTAAACATAGAAATCCAGCAATTTGGGATTATGTCAAATTCCCTGAATTTCTAAATGATATTGAGAATGATGAAGATAACTCAGTTGAAAGTAACATAAAAAAACACATGGGAGAATGCTGAGATAGATAAGATTGACATTAAAGGAGCTGAGGCTATTATCCCTGAGAATTTTGTTCTTGAGGAGGTGGCTGATGAGATGCAAGGGGCAGGGGATCTGCAGACCTGTGGGGAGGAAAACAGAGGAGATAACTGCTAGCACGTTTTGTTTGAAAGCCTGGCCCATGTAGCTCGGCCCACTGGGGGTGGTGGTTTGGGTGGCCCGGGATGGAAAGGAGGGGGGTGACCATATATAAAGGAGGCATCCCTCCTTCCGTTCTAGAGCCAGACTTCCTCCACCCACCAAACCCTAAAAAAGTCAGGGTGGCGGTTGGTCTGGCGACAGGATCGGTGGAGGCAGAATCTTGCTGGGAAGAAGAAGAGATCATGGCAGGCAGGCAAGATAATTGGCGCCCAAGACCAGGAAGAGGAACATGATTTGGTGGGAGAGGTAATTTCTATGGCAAATCTAATATCTCTGACAGAGGGTTTGGTAGGCAGGATGTGAGAGATCAGGACAACTTCAAATGGAGAAATAGAGAGGGGAATTACAGAGGAGGATCCGGGACTAACAACAGTGGCTCAGGGGAAGAAGGGGCTTCGATGGGAAATGGTAGATACCCTGAAGGTAAGTTAGGAAGATTTAGCTCAGGCAGATTTGGAGAGCAACAGGAAAAAGTTCAGGCTGGGACTGGAGAGATGGCCACTGGTAATAACTTTGTGGTTGCTAATCCCAGCATGCAGCAGATGGGGATGCAAGGGGGCCAGATACAGATGGCAGGAGGATTCCCTATGCTAAATAATCCCAATTTCCCTCAGATGGTACCTGTCGGGGGGATGAACCCTGGGCAGGCAACGGAACCCGGATCTATTTCAAAAACAGCAGGGCCCGCATCGCCCCACAAACCGCGTGCGCCACGCCGGGTCGCTCGACCCGGCAAGGCGCGCAACCCGGCCAAGACCCTCGACTCGGCAAGATACATCGACCCGGCCGCAGTGGCTGGCGCAAGGCAGCTCAGCCCGGCGCAACCTTGGCTTCCCCAGCAAGCCAACCCACCCGTGGCGTCCACAGCAACCCAGCCACGGGTCAACTCCTGTCCAAGGCCGTATGATGGGACGAGACCTCAATCACCGATGACCAAGACTACAGTGCCCCCTGTAGGAACACGCGGTACGCTACACTAGCGCCAAATAAAATTCTCTACCACGCACCCAAGATCATGCTGCTAGAAATAGATTACGAGATCGGGTTTACCACTAGACGCGTAGTCACCGCAGCGAAAGTAGAGTTGGTGATGCGTGTAGTCGATCTCTCGGGCCGTCTCCCCTCTTGATGCCGATCTCCCACGAACAACGAATATCCGCAAACGGTGATCTCCCGCGAACGGCTCCTCGCGGTTCCCTCGAATGGTTCGTCCAAGCACCGCAGATGCGATGCCTCCAAGGTATCCACACATACGGGGAGCAGCGTCGAGCGGCGGACTGCTAGGTCCAGTCAAGCGGCATGGGCGTGGGGAGTGGCGGCGGCTCTCGAGGGTGGAAAAAGGATCAACCCTAAGTGGTGCGCCCACTCCCCTTTATATAGACCTCCGAGGTGGGCTCAACACTTGAGCCCACTTGGAGTCCACATCCATTTTCCACTCATATCTAATCCGAATGGGCTGCATCCCCTTAAGTGTGCGACCCTATAGGTTCACGTACACATGGACACGACCAGAGTCGATAGTTGGTAGCGGCTCCTAGCAGAACGTGCCAACTCCCATATGTGCATAAAGTCGTTTTGACGAACCTTGACAATGTGTCATATGCAACATTCCTTTTGCCTCACGATATTTGTTGTCGAGCCCAAGGCGAGTACTTGTCACCCTTGTGGTAGCTCGACCTCTCTTCTCGAAACTGTGATACAGATTCTCAAACTGGGTTAACACTTAACCCAAGTCGCATGGCCATGCTTTCCGAATCTGATCACTCGAGAGGGCCCAGAGAATATCCCTCCATATAGGAGTGGCAAATCCCATCTTGGTCAACCATGTCTCGCAGCATGTATCACGACTCACCCGAAAACTACCTTTATAACTACCCATTTATGGAGTAGCGTTTGATAGACCCTAAGTGAGTCGATCCTCATCCCGAGAACATGCGAGGACCTCAGGTCTAGGACATGTCATAAACATTGTACTTGAGACTAACAAATGACTATATCTCATTGCGTCTCAAAGTGGGTCTGTCCGACTCGGTGATCTCCATCCCCGAGTCCATACTATAGGTTTAGCATCTCCATGCACATGACTTGTGAAACATAGTCATCAACCGAGTCGTATACTAGTCGAGGATATGTGTCCGCATAACCTTATCAACTAGGGACCATTAGAACAATCATCATACAATACATAGTTCCACAAAAAAGTCACATACTTATTGATACATATCATTGATGATGTTCAAGGACAATACAAAGGACTCATGAATACATATGGAAATATCATCATCACATGATTGCCTCTAGGGCATATCTCCAACACCCCCGCCCATGCCCGTGGTCAGCCAGAGCGTGGCAACAGTGCCCCTTACCTACCCGCTGACCAGGGCTGGCATGACAACAGTGTTCCCGCCCTCACCGCTGACGACAGCAAGCGGCGGCCTGACAGAGAACATTGTGC